TATGCAAATAAATCTTTGACATTTGCTCATCTCTGCTCGGTGTGCCAGGAATGTGGGTAAGGGGTTTATCATGTCAGAAAGCTTCCTGTGATTCAGATTATCTCTGTTGACTCATTTGGCATGTTTAAGGACTCCAAAACAACCAAGTCTCTTTTTCCAAGTCTCTGTCACAGTGATATCAAGATACCTTTTTCACATTGCGAGGCAATTGTCTGAGTCTATCTGAGTTAAACAAGGACAAATAACCTCAGTACCTCAGTAAACCTGAACACAAATCGGCGGTTTGCATGAACGAAATGGCCTGTCTAAGTCCAATCACATGTTTATTCAGCATACAGGTTGTAGATTGTATCAGTGCCTTGCTATTCTCAGCAGCTATACTATTTGGCGAAGCTGAGTCTCTAAATGTGTCCATTATGATGGTTAGTTCCTGCCTGATAGACTGTTCTAATAAAAGACTTAACAGGTATCTGAGGATGTGCTGTGTGATAAACTGATAACTGATAAAATCACATCCTGAGGTTAATGGCACGCTTTGTTCTACAGATCAGTTTACCACAGCATCTATTTGCAGTACTGTGACTCAACAATGCATCCCACTTTAATCTAAGGTAAGCAGATTTATGCCAGTGACGGGTGAATCTCTGCTAGACTCTAATGTGTAAACTGGATTTCAAGCAGTAGAGAGCAAAGCAGTAATAACACTCAAGTTACTTCAAAATACAATTCAGATGGCCCACGAGCACGAGTGAAAGCTGACACTGTACAGCAGAGGACCCTCCGGCTATGAGGGGAGAAGGGTTTGGAAGAAGAAAAAGTGTGTTTGAAGCTTAAAATCAGCCCGAGTACATACTGTGGAAATCTACACAGTTAATCATTTTCATTGGTATCAGTATTACCATGGCAATCAGGATATAATGAAGGAAGTTTTTTTTAAGTATTGATGTCAGAAGATATAAAATAGTAACTTTCATTTCCCTAAATTTGTGATCAAGTTCATCACTTGACTCGAATTAGGAAATTGCAGTGATGTTATTTTTTTTTATTTTTAGAGGAGCACATACCCACATGTTGAACCTCGCTGGTTGTCATTTTATTGTTGAATTAACTCTCCAGCAAGCTTTCAGGGGGAGCTGAAGTAGAACGATCAGGCTCCACAACAAAACCACGGAGTCTGCCAAACACAAAAGAAGTCTGGGCAAAGAGCTGCTCCATTTTCGGTGCTGCTGTGGTCGCATTTTGTGGATAAAAAATTCCACTTGTGGCTCAATGCCAGAGTTACACATGACCAGTTTGCTCATGTACATTTCCTCTCAGAATGATACAGGGTTAACTCAGCGATTGCTCAATAGAAACCTATTCTTAAAATATCAGCTCTAAGATACAATCTCCCAAAAAAAAACCCCACATCATGTATGAGTGCATGAGGGCACTTTTTTTACCATTTTAACTCATCAGTGTAAAACAACAGCATCTCAGCGGGGAGATAGTAAAATGTTATGTTGTACAGTATATGAATTAATATTAAAGATGTTATTTTGTAGATGTTTTTTAGAATATTTGATTCATAAAGAAAACTCGAAAAGCAAAAACAAGTGAGAGAAACGGTGTTAAAACACAGTTCAGTAATATTTAATATTAAAAAAATAATTAAAAACACTGAAATTGAACAAAAAAAATCCATATTTATGGTTTTACAGCTGTAAAATTTATTCCAAATACCAAGGCATAACCTGCACCAGACTATGTTTAGGCAGCTGAGACGTTAATAATGAAAGTAATATACAAACCGGATTCCAAAAAAGTTGGGACACTAAACAAATTGTGAATAAAAACTGAATGCAACGATGTGGAGATGGCAAATGTCAATATTTTATTCAGAATAGAACATAAATCACGGAACAAAAATTTAAACTGAGAAAATTTATCATTTTAAGGGAAAAATATGGTGATTCAAAATGTCATGGTGTCAACAAATCCCAAAAAAGTTGGGACAAGGCCATTTTCACCACTGTGTGGCATCTCCCCTTCTTCTTACAACACTCAACAGACGTCTGGGGACCGAGGAGACCAGTTTCTCAAGTTTAGAAATAGGAATGCTCTCCCATTCTTGTCTAATACAGGCCTCTAACTGTATTATCGTCTTGGGCCTTCTTTGTTGCACCTTCCTCTTTATGATACGCCAAATGTTCTCTATAGGTTAAAGATCTGGGCTGCAGACTGGCCATTTCAGTACCCGGATCCTTCTCCTACGCAGCCATGATGTTGTGATTGATGCAGAATGTGGTCTGGCATTATCTTTTTGAAAAATGCAGGGTCTTCCCTGGAAGAGATGACGTCTGGATGGGAGCATATGTTGTTCTAGAACCTGAATGCATTTTTCTGCATTGATGGTGCCTTTCCAGACATGCAAGCTGCCCATGCCACACGCACTCATGCAACCCCATACCATCAGAGATGCAGGCTTCTGAACTGAGCGTTGATAACAACTTGGGTTGTCCTTGTCCTCTTTGGTCCGGATGACATGGCGTCCCACATTTCCAAAAAGAACTTCGAATCGTGACTCGTCTGACCACAGAACAGTCTTCCATTCTCCCGAATCTTCGGATGATGTCATGCACAGTTGATGATGATAACTGCAAAGTCTTTGCAATTTTTCGCTGGGTAACACCTTTCTGATATTGCTCCACTATCTTTCTGCGCAACATTGTGGGAATTGGTGATCCTCTACCCATCTTGGCTTCTGAGAGACACTGCCACTCTGAGAAGCTCTTTTTATACCCAATCATGTTGCCAATTAACCTAATTAGTGTTAATTGGTCTTCCAGCTCTTTGTTATGCTCAAATTTACTTTTTCCAGCCTCTTATTGCTACTTGTCCCAACTTTTTTGGGATTTGTTGACACCGTGAAATTTTGAATCAACATCTTTTTCCTTTCAAATGATACATTTTCTCGGATTGAACTTTTGATCTGTCATCTACGTTCTATTTGGAATAAAATATTGACATTTGCCATCTCCACACATTGCATTCAGTTTTTATTCACAATTTGTTTGGTGTCCCAACTTTTTTGGAATCCGGTTTGTAGATTATTGCTGTGTATGGCTTATTTCTAATCTGTGAACTCTTCCACTAGAGACCTTGCAAACCAAGGCCATGTATATTGCAGTGCCTTGCTACAGCTAAGGATGCTTTATGAGCATAGATTGGTGAAGGACAACCTCCTCATTTTTACTGTGCCATAGTTCTGAACCCAGTGCACTGCATCATTTTTAGCTTTGACACCCTCGAGAAAAACAACAACAACCTCTCTCTCTCCCCTTTCTGTATAAAGCAGAACTAATGGTGCCAAACTACAGAACCTGCATTATTATCTTTATTGACAATTTTTAACATATGTTTTTATGATATTCCTTTAATGCTTTAAATGCTATCACCCTTATCAAAGTGACCCTTTAAAATCCAAACAGTTAAATATCTGCATGATTAGTGAAAGTATGAACTATAATCTCTTGTCCTTTATGAAAGCGTAACACATCTTCTTCATGAGGCAGGAAGCTGTGTTTTCTCACATGCACGGTGCAGCAAAGCAAAATGTGGTTACTGTGTGTTTTACTGTTTATTCGTGCGTGGTTATTTTTAACCTTCACTAACACATCCATCCTGCAGAGTCGTAGTTAGTTTTGCTGAAATGAATCATGAGGTCAGCTAAGCAATCCGCACATAATATTTCAGAAACTAAGTTTGTTACTTGTTGCTATCTACCGTATTATCTCATGACAGCAAAGTAAGAGGAGCGGCCTGTGTTTGTGTGTTGTTTTTAGATAAAAGTACTGTAAATAAACCATGAGTGTGTTTCACAATGTGAGTGCTAAATTCATAAATTCACAACAAGTAATCAATAAATATAACAGCTTACATAACACTATGAGCCAAATATGTAACCTATAAAAGCTTGTTTCAGTGTCTGGCTTTGGTCATGCAAAATAAGAACTCATGTTAAAAAAATGTGAGCTACAAACAAATTGGTTTCCTCAATTTGTTAGAAAGTTTAAAACACCTTCACATTTCTGGTTGGATCACCTCTCTGCCTGATGGACCCAATCAGTGAATTATCTTGTAGAAAAGTGGAAGTTTGAGATGCAAAAAGGAGTCACGTCTGAGCGCACTGCCGTCCTCCTCACTCATCACAGCATTTCTACACTGAGCAACTTTGCCATCTGTGTTTCTTCTTCTTGCAGCTGTTTCCTCGCGGTCAGGAGAAACCCAGAACGTTAAGGAACGGCTGCGTCTGCCTCCGTGATTATGGCTCCATGCAGCAGGACAACCATTGAGAGCTAATTCAGTCATTAAAATGATAACAGATGTGTGTTTACAACAGCTGCTGCACTTTGTGCGCATTAGTTGAATCATCTGCAGCAGAGGTTGGCGTTGCAATATCAAATTAAAATCATGTTGACCAAAGCTTAAATAAACAATGTGCTCTGGCCTGCTTCCCTTCCACATCTGGCCAAAAGCGTGCAGCTGTCAGAGACAGAACCATCAAAGCCAAGTCACAAAACTCACGCTGGGCAGCACATGTGTAGTAAATTCAAGACTTTTGTTATTTACGTGCCAGAAGAAGAGAATAATAACCTTTGCTGAAGTAGGATATTAATATTTAACGTTGCCCACCGATCATATGGGTAATAATAATAAGTAATAGCTAACAGCCTAATGCCGCGGTTTCTAGGACTACAATCAGTCATCAGTAATTTGATATATAAAAAAGTAAAAAATTGTTTAGGTTGAAAAAAGCAAAGAAAAGAAAAGAAAAGAAGAAGAAGAAGAAAAACATCCACAAAAACAATCAAATGCCTCACAGCTATTAAAGTGCAAGACCACAAAATGCAGTAGTGAAATTAGGAGATGGAAGTGTTGAGAAACCACCCCGTCAGCTGACTTTGGTTACATGCTGTTTCTTATACCTCTGCAAGCATTATCTCAGCTCAGTTGGTACTGTGCACTGGACACGATCATCACCAGCAGAGAACAGTTGTTGCTGCAGGTATGTTGTTGTTGTTGTTGTTTAATTATATGCAGTTATACACAAAGATGTTTATTCAGATTAAAATGAAAATGGGAAACATTTGTTTAAATTAAATGTTTGTTTGTTTTCACAGAAATTCCAAACATATTTTCACCCTTAGAAGAAATGGATTATATAGAAAATTTGGACTATGACTATCCTGAAAATGTGTCCTACACTTATAATGATTCCTCCAATATCACTACACATGAAGAGCCAGTTTTTCAGCACAAGCCAAAATGTGAAGGCTCCTGTGTGACTTTAGTCATAATTAATGTGATCATTTTCCTGCTGGGCACCTGTGGGAATGTTTTGGTCATCTGGATTTCTGGCTTCAAGATGAAGAAAACAGTCAACACCATATGGTACCTGAGCCTTGCGTTCTCTGACTTTATGTTCTGCTCCCTCATCCCATTCACCATTGCCTACACAGTGACTGAGGATTGGATTTTTGGCAGTTTTTTGTGCAAGTTTATCCCGTCAGTTATGTTCCTCAACATGTTCAGCAGCATCTTCGTCCTTGTCCTCATCAGCGTCGACCGCTGTGTTTCAGTCATGTTTCCAGTTTGGGCTCAGAACCAGCGCACTGTTAGAAAGGCATTAGTTGCTGTTGTCATGGCGTGGTTGCTCGCCATCGCAGTTAGCATTCCCTCTATGATTTTTCGGGATGTTAAGGAACACCTAGGTCGGATGATTTGCTTGAACAGTTACACACACCAACATGGTCACAAGTTTGTCGCAGTGAGCCGTTTCATCGCTGGCTTTGTTATCCCTTTCATCATCATTACCATCTGCTACTCTATCATCATCCTCAAGCTTCGAACCAACAAGATGGCCAAAAACACCAAACCATTCAAGGTGATGACTGCTCTGATTGTTGGGTTCTTCATCTGCTGGCTTCCGTACCACGTGTTCATCCTACTTGAGCTGAACCCCCACCACCACAACCTCACCATTTTGAAGATCGGACTCAAAGCAGGCACTGCTTTGGCAGCAGCAAACAGTTTCCTCAATCCTGTGTTGTACGTTTTCATGGGCAACGACTTCAGGCGTAAGTTTAAGAGCTCTCTGCTTTCAAAGATGGAGAATGCAATGGGAGATGAAGGTCGTACCACCAGCCGTTACCTGTCCAGGTCCAGCTCCATGGATGGACGAGCCTCTACACACATCTAGATGTGCAAAAATCCCCCCAAACTGTTTCAGTCAGTTGGTTCACTGGACAACAAAAATAATGTTTAAAAATGTGCAATCAATCAACATGTAAAATATGTCTTTACTTGGAGAAGGAGAACTGTGAATGAAATATGTATATTCCAGCTGTAAAAATGACCGTGTATTATACATTAGACTCAAAGCATTACTTGTATATTAAGTGTTTTACTAAAATAAAATAAATTAAAAACAATCATATGACATACTTTCATGCATCAAGGAACACAAAGTGGTGCATACATTTGCAGATCACTTTCTGATTCTTGCGGCACTCCTGCATGGTTGGATGGTTAATAGAAAGCCTGATTTGACTGGTAAAACACTAAAACAAGAAGGAAACAACTTGTGTCTGTTGTTGGAACAGACACAAGTTTTGACTTGCTTTCTTGATATCTTAATTAAAAGTTAAACGAAGGATGGTCAAGAGCACTCACTAAACTGTGGTTCTAATTATAATATAACAACGCATTATAGTTTCATGCTGCAACACTTCAATAAGTGTAACTGACCACAATACAGAGTAAGACAGGGTGAAGCTCAGCCAATCACACAATCTGTATTCGCAGATACTGTGCAACAATTTATGGTATGTCATGTATGAGTGCTATGAATGTAGTTGTAGTTGTAAAAGTTTGACTTTTGTTGCTGCTTTTCTTTGTTTCTGAGATTAAACAAGATCCATTAAAGTTAGTTCTCTGATTCACTCTCTAATTTCTCAAAAATTGAGGCTTAATTTGTATTTGGAGGCTGTGCTTTTCAAACAAACAATCACCTACTGAAAATGTACTCATTTCCTATCTGCAGTGAGATATACATTTGGGAAACTGTAAAAAAAGAAATGCACAGACAACACTAACATCAGTTAAAACTGTGCTAAGCAATGTGTTTCTGGTGATGAAAAATCTGTAGCAACCTTCCAGTTTATTGTACATCAAGCTGTTTGCCAAGGAAAAGATAGACTTCTCTCTCAAGGCCAGTTTTCATTTTTTGGGAAAATGTGAAGCAAGAAATATCAAGAAAGGGCAAGAAAGGAACGGAGCCATTGTTAGTAAAATGTGTTAATTTTGTCAGAAAATGTTGTCGTGGGGGAGTGAGGTTTGAATAACATGTGAGGCCAAAATCATTTCTTTTCACAGCTTTAATAAACGAAAAGAATTTTAATGTCTGTTGTCCATCCGCATTTCACTGACAATTCCAGTTATGTCACTAACATTTTATTTGCACCTGTATCTGATCCAACGATATCACCTCCGCCTCTGCACACCAATAGAACCACATGACATATTTGCACACTGTGTTTGAGCCTAATTTTGAGTCTAAACTTTAAAACCACAAAGATGAGACAGAGATAAACACTCATAACATTTTTAACCTAAGAGATATCACAACAGGAATTTAAGAGTCTGGGGATTTTTAGTCACCCATCTGGCTGAAGGACCAATGAGCTCGTGCCATGTCGAGGAATCCATCGTCCACTTGTTCACACTTCACAAGAATCACACCTCCTACGCCATTAGCGAAAATTTAGTCAAACTCACACAATGATCACCTAACAGGTCTTACACAAACTGGGCTGAAGGTCAAGGTGACATTTGTCGTGTCAGATTATCATCCGGTCGTTAAGTCTGACGTTACTAGCCCTGTCTGGGCCTAAACTCCGCTGCAGGTCCATATATCAAAC